CTCCCCCACCCATCTTCTCTGTTAATAATGATGTCAATAATCAGTTAAATTCCAGAAAATGCCAAACAAAATCTGAGAAAACGCCATCATCCACAGCTGTTGTTGGAATTGGTTCCCGATTGAGTGACAGCAGCAGCAGTTCGTCAGAGTCTGAAAATAGTGATTCAGTTTCTTCAGGCAGCAGTGATTCTGAATCAGAGACAGGAGAGAGATAAAAACATCAATGATGAGAGAGAATCATTGATTTCCTGCCTCCTACATGCCTCGTGATGGGGATTGAGCCTGAAACCTGGGCATGTTCCCTGATGGGAAATTGAACCATGACCTTCTGGTTCATGGGTTGACACTCAAAAACCAAGCCTCACCAGTTGGGTGGTAGATACACTTTTAAGTTTATTGGGGTGACTAGTTAATAAAATTATTAACATTCATAAAAAAAGAAAGAAAAGAAAGCAAAGCGGGGTGGGGAGGGGAGGGAAACCTCTGGGATTGGATAAAAATTAAAGTAAAATGATAGACACATACTTCTTCATACTTCTCTTACTTAGGTTGGCGTAGGATAGGTAACGGTCAGCAATGTACTCAATAAAAATGAGGGGATTTAAAAAGGAAAATTACACCCTAGCCAGTTTGGCTCAGCGTAGATAGAGCGTCGGCCTGCAGACTAAAGGGTCCCAGGTTCCATTCGGGCCAAGGGCACATGCCGGGTTGCAGGGTCAATCCCCAGCGCCACCCCACCCCCAGTAGGTGGTGTGCAGGAGGCAGCCGATCCATGATTCTCTCTCATCATTGATCTCTCTCTCTCTTCCTCTTTGAAATCAATAAGAACACTATATATATGATTGACCTTTGTCACGGAAGGTAGCGGCCTAGGATGTGACTACCCACCATCACTGTTTTTTAGTTAAACTTTTAATTTCAGACCATCCCTTGTGGCCTCTTTTCCTCCCACATGGATGGGTGGATGGATGGATGTGTCCTCCCTCCCTCCCTCCCTCCCTCCTTCCCTCCGCCCACCCGTCCGCTCACCCGCTTTCCACGGGAAATCCTCAGTCTCATATCACACACTCACTGGTGAGTTCACTCGCTGCCTCCTTGCTCCCCGTGAAAAAGAGGAAGGAAAATGGACAAACGTGAAAGAGCCCCAGAGGCGGCAACTGTGAACCAAGTGCACGCACATGTGTGCGTGTGTGGCATTTGTCAACCACGTAAGAAATGTTCCAACCTGTGAAGAATTTCTGGGAGTGTCTTTCAGCCAAACTGTCCACGAATGAGCTTGTCAAGTTTAGTACAGTATGTGGTCCCTTTTCACCACCACAAGCACCACCAGCGCGTCCCCCCCTTCCCCCCACACACACAGGAGTCCTCTCATTGGGCGAACCAACCAGTCGTGATCCTGACCCCGGGAGTTGTATTAAAAATCAAGCTAAAGGAGTGTGATTGTAAACTGTAGGCTTATCAAAGGTTCAAAGGAGGTCTGTGTTTTACCACCACTGAAAAAAAAACAAACCAAGAAAGAGATCAAGGGTCAAAACACCCTCTCTTGGACTGGGAGTGAGAGAGCTCCTGCATCTGTCCAAGAGGGTCATCGGCAGTGTGAAAAGCCAGGGTTCAGCAACAGGGGATATTTTCTTCCTCTCAGGGATCCTGAGAAGTCTCCATGACAGTAAGGGGGTGGGTGCTGTCATTGAAAAGGCAAGGCGAGCAGGGAGAGCTATGGCATTTACAGGCATACCCTATCTACTTTTCCTTTCACAGCATTTACACAATGAATTAATGTTTAGTTTTGAACGGCATTACTTCTTGAGTCCCCTCCTCCTCCTGCAGCAGCAGCAGTAGCAGCAGCAGCAGCAGATGGCTGTTGTTTCCAATTCTTTGGTTGATACTCAGGTGTAGGACGAATGTATGTATGTATGTATGTATGTATGTATGTATGTATGTATGTATACTGTGTGTGAGCCCCAGGATGGACAGAATCTCGGGGGGGGGGGCGGGGGGGAGTGGAATAGACTGGAGTGGAGTGGAGTGGAGGAGAGGAGAGGGGGAGCAAGAGGAAGGGAGGGAGAGAGGGAGGGAGGGAGGGAAGCAGGAGAGGACCTCGTTAGTTAATGACACCGGGCATGGCTATAATTCTGAGTTTTTTGTTTGTTTTCCTCGAATGCCACCTACGCAGAAAACAACCTGTGTGAAGTTAAACTAAGGTCACCCAAACAAGAATAAAAACTACCCATCGACTGCAAGGCTCTGTAGTAGGTCGCCCACTGCTTGCACTTGGCAGAGACTCAAATCTGAGGCAAGGGGTATTAGCGGGGAAGCTGGAGTAGAAGAGGGAGAGGTGTGTGACATATTCCATGAGGTGGAGCACATTTGCACCCCCCTCCCCCCCGCCTTGGAACCAAGTTTAGGGGGGTCTGTGGGGGCGGAAGGGCCGAAAAAGAGAGAGAGAGAGAGAAAAAGATGAAGGTTCTCAGTTTAGTCCTGATTATGACTTTCTGGGGCATGGCATGACACAGCACAGCATGCCCGGTGGGTCACCACCAGTGGTGTGGTTTGTGGTTTCCAACCAGGAACCCCTCTGTGGTCCACTTCAGTCCACCTAATACCTTTCCTGACTGGGGAGAGTTCCTATGGATCACAAGGACAAACCCAAAAGAGGACAAAGTTCAGAATGCCTAATTCACATCTGTCCATTTCTACACAACACAGCCGTTCATAGTGTCCAAGTGACGTGACCTGCATTTTTCATGTCTGAGAAAGAAGTTTCCATTTCAGGTACTTCTGTGTTATTTGTAAATGATGTGCCTCCATCCAGAGAATGAATAGTGCTAGTATGGCGAGCTATGCTGCTCCTATAGACTCCCTTCCATTCACTCCCCTCTGCCAACTGCGTTGTATGTGTGTACCCCCACATCCTGCGTGGTTTAAGGTTCAGGATCTGGAAGAGGAGGCGCACACAAATGAAAAAGAAGAGACAAGAAATAATTTGGAAATACTGGGGGGCCAGGAGAGCAAGTCCAACTCAAGGGGAGGGGCCTCCACTGGTGCCTAGGCATCAACAGCCTTTTATTCAACTTTGGTTAAACATAAAGCCCTTAGCCAGGCAGGTAATAGCAGTTGCAAACAGGCTATCATAAAGGTCAGTAAATACTAGAAGGATTTACTCTGAGACTATTTGATCAGGAAATAGCTTGAGTTCCCATTGTCGGGACTAGACAATCAGTGCATAACTCAGGCCCTGCCGTGGGTACAAGGGTCACCAGCCTTCAGAGATCCTTGTTTGCACTTCTTGCTAGTGAAGACAATGGGTGGCGTCCTGCATCTCCCCCGTTTCTTTTCCTTAATAATTCTTGAAAGGTAACTACTGCCTGAAGGGTTCGAGTCCTTTTAAGACTCTTCATTCCGCATCTGCAGACTAGAAATAAGCATATGAGAACAAAAATGAGACAAGCAATAGTGGTTATGCTGAGAGGCAGATGAATCAGTCTGTAGTAAGTTTCTTTCTGGGCCAACAGTTCTTTGAGTCCCAATTTCAATGTCCAACAGTTTCTTATGTGTACATGCCAGCAATGATATGCTAGTTCTGGATGGTGGGCAAATGGTGCCAATGCAGGTCCAACCTTCTCTGGTTTGGTCCTGTGCAACCTGCAGCGACACACAGCTGCTGACTGCTAGCATGGCAAGGCGTCTTCACCATCTCCATCTCTGGACTGTTTCTCTTCTTGTCTTCATGTGTTGTCAGTTCCTCTCTGGAATTCATTGTTGCAGGAATCCACACAGGCTTAGAGGAGTTTTCTGGAAATATACAAACATTCTCGACCAAAGGTTCATAAGGAAATATTTTTTATAAATTAGACTTGGGATCCTTTCATTTTTGCCCTAAAGAAATAAATAAATATCTGTCAACATTTATTTGCTCTTCAGCCCTGCCGCCGCCCCCACCTTCAATCTCTCATCTCCACAGACAACTGGTCAACCCAATTGTTCTGACTCACTGCTAGAGACTAAGTCCTGGCCGGGACATCTGGTCGACCTGCTCTCTCTCTCTCTCTCTCTCTCTCTCTCTCACACACACACACACACACACACACACACACACACGCACGCAGACCTATGCAGGAGACCAAGCTGGGACATCTGGTCAACCGCAGCCACTGAGCAACCATCTCCATCTGCCACCCATTTTCGGGAGTGCTGGTCGACCAGGGTTTTCGGGGAGGGGCGGGGGGAATGGGGAGGGAGCCGGCCCTCGGTCCCCCTGGGAAAGGGGCCGCATCCCCCCTATCCACCCCCACTTCCCCATCCCAGCCCAAGGCCTGAAGGCCCTGGCGGAGCTCGGGGAGAGGAGGCAATGGTCGCCAAGCTGTGACTCCCTTGTCCTTTCTCAGTCTGGGTGTGCCCAGAGGCCCCTGGAGGCTGGAGATCCTTGGCCTGAGTGTTGGCCTTGGCATGGAAAAGCATGACCCTTCCCATGGTTCCATGCTACCCCTGCAGCGAGCCACATGCTCAATGACAGAAGTATGGCTTCATAGATGGCACCCCTGCCCCATTAGTAGACCTCCTGACTGGGGCCCGTCAGCCCTGCTCTGCCCTGTGCAGGCTTCCCTGGGGCCAGCTCTCCGTGTGTCCTCCAGCATGTCCCCAGTGCTGTCTGTGGGTGCACCATCCTGGATGCCTCGCCTGAGAGCCAGGGCTTTTGTCTCTGTGAGCGCCTTGCCCAGGCACACAGCAGGCACCTCACCCATAACTCCTCTTGGGGTTTTGCACATGCTGTGTCTGCCAGGAACACTCCCTCCTCCCATTGCCTGTCCTCAGCTACCCCAGCTCCCAGTCTCAGCCTGTGGGACAATGCTGGACTCACTGAGAGATGGAGCACTCGGGAGGCCTGCAGGGTTGGGGGGCAGGGTCAGGACAGCAGAAAAGGAAGTGGGTGCTGAAGCTGGGTTTGCGGGGAGAGGAGTGACAGGAAGGACATGAAGGGAGGACTTGGTATGAGGCCAGGATGTGAGCTTCAGGGGCTCAGGCTGGCAGTTTCCATTGAGTGGGACTTTCTGAGCTGCTTGTAATTTCACTTTCAGAAAATGAACCTGAAGCAGGGCTATGGTCACATGACCAGTGGCTGGGAATAAAGGCAGCCCCTTCCTTCTTTCCTCTTGACTCTTGCTTCCAGATTTGTAGGTCACAGCCCAGAGGCATAGAGTGTCCTTCCTGCGGCCAAGCCTCCAAAGAGGAAACTCCCAACTTCTGCAGCACAGGCCACGCCCCCACACACAGCCCCTGCACTGGGTAAGGCCTGAGAGGGTGCCGATGGGGTGGCGGGGGACATCAGCTGTGTCCTGTTTCCTTTCCTGGAAGTGGAAAGGCCAGTGGGTGGCCCAGTGCAGAACGAGGTCTCCTGGGGCTCAAGGGCTCTTTCTGTGTTGTGGAGTGCAAGCGACAGAATGACCAGAACTCCAGACTGATTAAAATTTAGAGAGCCTTTATTGACTGGCCAGTGTCCACTCCTCCACTCGGGAAGCCCAAGAGAGAAGCGGCCACGACCATCTGCAGAGTCCAGTATTTAAAGGGGACAACTACATCTGTGTTCAGGTTCCCATCACAAGCAAAGCCAAGTTGCAAAAGCTAATTGTGCAGTTTTAGACAAGCTATTCATCCTCCTGTTATTCATTTCTGGGTAACATAAAGGTCAGGACTGTTCTTAATTTTGATCTGTCTGTTCTTTGTAGGCCGTGGCTCAGGTGTGGGAGCTCAGTTCCTAAAACTTTGCACAGGCTGCAAGGCTGCTGAGGTGGCTAGGTCATTAAGCAGGCCTAAAAAATTGTTCTACTCTGTAACATTCCCCACTGGTTTTACGGGAGAATCAAATCATTGTTTCTCCTTATTCTTTGGTAGTGAGTTCTTAGGACCATTCATTTGACTGCTTGTTTTCTGCGTTGAATATAATTCATTGAGCAGTTCAGTATGCACGGGCCGAAAGTTAGTGTTAGCAGTAGGAGTGCTATTGGCCCAGCTAAGGCGGTTAGGAGAGTGGTGAGCCAGGGGACCAGGAGAAGAGGTTTTCATACCAGTTTCCTTCAGACTTTCTCCTTTCCTCTCTATCTTGTAGCCTCTTTCTTAGCTAACTGAGGCTCTCCCTGATAACTCCTGAGTGGTTAGTATAAAAACAACAGCTCTCCCCTAGGGCCATGCATAGTCCTCCCTGTTTTAGAAATAACAGGTCGAGCCCCCTCCTATTTTGTAATACTACCTCTGCTAAGGAACTGAGGGAATCTTCAAGTCTATCTACATTTTGTTCTAATGTGCTCATATCTTGATCTACTTGGCTGCTGAGGGCCTTAAAATTCTGATTTTCTGTTACTAGAGCTGCTGTTCCCACCGCAATGGAGCCGGCAACCCCTAATCCTACTAAAAGGGGAATCAATACTGGGGCCATTTTTCTCTGCCTCTGAGCAGACCTAAATGTTCTCTCCCTCCCTCCCCAGAGTAATAGTATACCTGAGGCAAGATGTGAGTGAGGAAGCATAGAGAAGGCTCCCCCGGGGGGAAGGGGAGATGAGAGTCAAGGGGGAATTATAAGGGGTGATACTGGAGGTACAGGCAAACCAAGTTCCCTGTACGTTGGATGGCCCATAGTTCAGTGGGGTCCTCGGATTCCACCTTTTTTTACTTGAGTTCAGTGAATCCAGTGTCTCTTTCCGGCAACCTTTAGGCTGATGGGGTGCTGAGGATGACAGTGAAGGGCCCAGTCCACCTGGCTTCCAGCAAAGATGGCTTGTGCTTCTGAACCCACACCAGGTCTCCCTGTTGAAAGAGAGGTGGTCCAGGCCCGGTCCCGGAGGATGGGTCTTGATGAGCCTCTCGGACCAGCTGGTGGTTAAGCCTGGACCTCAACTGTAAAGCCTGTAAGGACTTTAGGAGGTTATGATTAGAAAGGGATGCTAATATTTCTTCCCCTAGCTTGGGAAGTAGTGGTAGGGGTCGGCCAAACAGAATCTCAAAAGGGGTGAGGCCCTTTACATACGGGGTGCAATGAGCCCAGAGTAAGGCAAAAGGGAGGAGGCTTACCCAGTTTTCGCCAGTCTCCAGTTTTAGTTTTGTCAGAGTTTCCTTTAAGGTCCAATTTATCCTCTCTACCTGTCCAGAGCTCTGAGGTCTATAGATACAGTGTAATTTCCAATTTATACCTACTATCTTTGCCAATAACTGAGTGATGTGGGCAATGAATGCCGGGCCATTGTCGGACCCCATTGTAACAGGTAGGCCAAACCTGGGGACAAATTCTGAGATTAATTTCTTTACTGTTACTTGTGCTGTTTCAGACTTGGTAGGGAAAGCCTCTGGCCATCTTGAGAATGTATCGACGAAAACCAGCAGGTAGCGATATCCTCCCAGACCTGGGGGTAATTCTGTAAAGTCTACTTCCCAATGCTCTCTGGGACTTTTCCCTGAGTCTGGTTCCCTTGACTAAAGGGGACCGCTTCCTGAGGTTTGCCTGTGCACAGATGTGACATCTCCTTGCAATATCTTTTGAGACCTGAAAGAGTTTAGGAATATAATAATCTCGTTTAGGCTGTTCTAGCAGTTTGGTTCCCCCCAGATGAGTACTCTGATGGATCTGGGAAATGAGTTCCTTTCCCAGGGCCTCTGGACTGAGCAGCCTCTGGTCCGGCAATTCTTTCCATCCTCCGGATGTTTCTTTTGCCTGGAGTCTTTTCCCCAGCGCAGTAGCCTCCTCCAAGTAGACTGGAATCTCCTCAAAGACCCTTGCAGGGAGGGCTGGTAAAATATGGAGGGACCACACTGGTTTTTGGGTGACTTGCTGGCCGCTTTATCTGTGAAGGCATTTCCCCATGCCTCCGGGTGTCAGTTGACTGATGTCCTTTGCAGTGTATGACTGCCACCACCTTCGGCATCCAAAGGGCCACAAGGAGGGTAAGGATTTCTGGGACATTTTTGATTTCCTTCCCTCCTGAAGTTAGGAGTCCCCTTTCTTGGTATAAGGCCTCATGAACGTGAAGAGTGGCAAATGCATATCGGCTGTCTGTATATATATTCGCTGCCTTTCCCTTCCCCCACCGTAGTGCTTGGGTGAGGCTATTAGCTCTGCCTTCTGAGCTGATGTCCCGCACCCCAGTGCCTGCACCGAGGTTACCTTGTCAGCTATCACAACCGCTGCTCCTGCATACCTGGTCCCTTCGACCACAAAGCTGCTTCCATCAGTGTATACAGGGTCTCATCAGGATCTGGCCCGTCAGGTCCTCTCGAAGGTTCTTGAGCGAGGACAGGGTTTCAGTGCAGTCATGGAGGGGCTGCTTAGGGTTGTCATCAGGCAACAAGGTAGCAGGGTTTAATGCCGCCGTTTTGAGAAAACTGACTAGCGGGGGATCAAGCAAGAGTACCTGATACTGGGTGATCCGAGTATTCGAGAGCCAGTGCTGTGGTGGGCTTTGCAACAGTGCCTCCATGGAATGTGGAGCTACTCCTTGCAAGTCCTGCCCGAGGGTGAGTTTTGAGGCTTCCTTTACCAATATAGTTATAGCTGTTACTGCTCTCAAACACCCTGGCCACCCTGCAGCCACGGGGTCTAGCCGCTTGGATAAGTATGCCACAGGCCTTTTCCATGGTCCCAGGGATTAGGTTAACACCCCCTTTGTTATTCCCCGAGCCTCTGCCACATATAACTGAAATGGCTTGGTGAGGTCTGGCAGCGCTAATGTTGGTGCGCTGGCTAAGGCTTGTTTAAGATCTTGAAAAGCCTTAGTTTCAGTTTCAATCCAGTTTAGTTTCTCAGTCTTTCCCCTGGTGCAGGTAACAGGCTCAGGAGGGTATATGGATTAGGCACCGTGGGATGTTATAGTTTCTACCCTCTTATTGTCCTCTCTTAAGTCCTGAACGGGTTTGAAGTCCTCCGTTCCTGGTTTCTGTACAGGAAGCAATGGGGTATTCCACAGGGAGTGGCAAGAGACTAAGATTCCTGCTTTTTTCAGTCTTTTTATGTGACTGCGATGCCTCTTCGGGCCTTTTGGCTTATTGGATATTGCTTAACCCATACTGGAATTGCTGTGCTGGAGAGTTGTACCACAATTGGGGCTCTGTGTACCGCCAGTCCTGGGGGGTTACTCTCTGCCCATACTCCAGGTATTTTCTGTTGCAGCTTTTGGAGTAATGGGGCATCTGGGACCGGATTGTTGTTTTCAGTTCCCTCAGTGAGGAGATATTCCTCGCTCAAGGGGCAAGTCAAAAACACAACCCCCGGTATCTGATTAAAAGTCACCGTAGCCGTCTCCTCCTGGAAGGAGATGGTAGCCTGCGGTTTGCTGAGAAGGTCCTGTCCCAGTAGTGGGTACAGGCACTCCGGCATCACAAAGAATGAGTGGGTCACTGTCCCGGCCCCCAGGTTGGTCCTCTTGCATGGCAGTTACCAGGACCTTTGCCATTTTCTGAGTTTGCACAGTCTCTGAATCTTCTCTATTTTTAAATGCCTTTTAAGCAACTTCAATCAATTCTGACAGCACTTTTCCCTCAAAGCCTTCTAACTTTGGTAATTTCTTTCTAATGTCTGGGGCCGACTGGGACATGAAAGCGATGTTAACTGCCCGCCAATTCTCGGGCTCATCAGGGTCTATGGGTGTGTAGAGCCTGTTGGCTTCACACAGGTGCTCTAGAAAAGCGGCGGGAGATTCACTCGGTCCCTGTACAGCTTCAGTTACCTTAACAAATTGGTGGGTTTCCGCGCAGTCGCTCGGATTCCCCTCAGCAGAGTCTGGTGATACCGATCGAGAGCCTCCTTACCTCACTCCGTGTTGGGGTCCCACGAGAGGTGGGAGAGTGGGAAGATAGCCTCGAGCCGAGCCGTGCTGACTCCGAAGAGGGTTGGCCGTTGGGGCCAAGAACCAATTTCCTTCCCTCTGACCTGACTCACTCTCTCTCCTCGGAGGTGAAAAGGGTCTGGAGGAGCTGTTGGCAATCTTCCCTAGTGGGCTGATGGGTGAAAAAGACAGACTCCAAGAGGGAGATTAATCCCAACAGATTCTGAGAGAAAGAGGGATTCTGATTCTTCCAGTTATAGAGGTCATTGGTTGAAAAAGGGAAGTAAACCATAAAAGGCCATTCCTCCCCCTTGGGGGCGGCACCTGGCGCAAAGCCAACATCGGGGCTCCAGAGGAGTCCCGAGAGGGGGCTGAATGTGGGGGTCAGTACTCTGCCCCACAGCGGGTATGAGATGGACTCAGAGGATCCTCAAGGGGAGCAGCCATTGGGGCTGACAGATACGGGGGTGGCTCTGC